AAATGTAATTTTATTTATTCATTTATTTATGTTTGGCTGTGCTGGGTCTAGGGTGCTGTGTGGGCTTTTCTCTAGTTTCAGAGAGTGGGGGAAGCTAGTCTTTAGCTGTGTGCAGGCTTCTCAGTGCGGTGGTGTCTCTTGTTGCGGAACATGGATTCTGGGGTGTGCGGGCTTCAGTAGTTGTGGCTTCTGGGCTCTAGGGCACAGGCTTAATAGTTGCGGTGCACGGGCTTAGTTGCTCCAAGGCATGTGGGATCTCCCCAGACCAGGGGTTGAACCCATGTCTCCCACATTGGCAGGCGGATTCTTTACTACTGAGCCATCAGGGAAGCCCTAGAAACGTTTCTTATAGGACAGCTGGCATATGCCCTTGCGCCCTGTATTATTCAGAATTCTCCAGAGAAGCAGAATTGCTTATGAGGAATTGGCTTACACAAGTATGGAGTCTGGGAAGTCCCACAATGTGCTGTATGCAGATCTCGGAGACTTGGTCTGTGTCCAAAGACCTGAGATCCAGGGAAACTGATACCAAAAAATCCCAGTTTGAGGCAGGAGATGAGATGAGACATCTCAGTGAGTTCCTCCTTCCTCCGCCTTCTGTTCTATTCAGGCCCTCAACACAGTCAATGATGCTGAGCCTCCTTGGGAAGGGTGGTCTGCTTTATCACCCTCACAAACTGAAATGCTAATCTCACTGGGAAACACTCTCACAGACACATATAGAAACAGTGTTTAATCTGAGCATTCCAGGGCCAGTCAAGTTGACACATAAAGTTAACCATCACCCTCCCTTCTTCTTTGTCTTTCTTTCCGTCCCATCACTGTGAGGTGTGGTGTGAGAGCTGGAGCTCTAGCTGCCTTCTTGGACTATGAGGACAACAGCATTGGGATAGGAAAGCAGTAAACTAGAAGGAGGTCAAATCCCTGGAATCTTTGAGGAATAGAGATCCCACAGTATCCCTGGGTTACCTACCCTGCAGATCTTTTCACATGACAGAAATAAACTGTCTTGTGTAAACATTGCTAATGTGATTACTCTGCTCTATTTGATTAAACCTAATCCTCACTGATACAAAATCTTATCTTGATGTTCACTTGGTTCTTCGTGGGCCTTAGTCAACAGGTCTCTAGCCATTTCCTCTCAGGGGTAAGAGGCCAAACCTTGGTCCTTAGGATAACAAACCCTCCATGTTAAGAACAAGGACAGGTCCAGTGACTGTCTCAAGAACTTAAATTTTCTGGCTGCTTCAGTTGGTTCTGAAGATAATAGTCATGGGCTCTATGAGGTAACATGACTATAGTTTTATTCTTCAGAGAGCATTGCTGATGTAAAATATATACCTATCCTTTGCTTAAAGATGTCAATTTGTTTCTGGAAAATGCTGCTAAGGGAAAAAGTTCAAAAGATAGAAAATTTTTTCTATTGATATTATTTTGTCATTGTTGTTACTTTGACTTGTTTAGCTGCTAGATCATGCCCAACTCTTTTGTGGCCCCATGGACTGCAGTCCACCTGGCTCCTTTGTCCATGGGATTTCCCAGGCAAGAATACTGGAGTGGTTTGCCATTTTCTTCTCCATCTATTCATTTTAATATGAAAAATTAGGATACATTTCACCCTGACCCAGGATACCCTAATGATATTCACAGATAGAAGAATATATTAGTTTAACAGTGAAAGCAATTTTATGCAACAAACAGCAGTTAGAAAGCAAATAAATAGACTTTATATGCAAAAGGTAGTATAATGAAGTTTACAGTACTTTCCAAGGGAGGAAGAAAGACTTGATGGTGGTGGGGCTGGGGTGAGAAGGGATTCTTTGGAAAGTGCAGTCTTCTTCCTGCCCTATTCAACAATATTTCAACATTTTGGAGGTTCATGGTAATTGTGCATTCAAACTGCACTATAAAGTCATATCACAGAAAATATGTCTAGAGCAAAATAAAAATAAATACACCAGCGCTTCAAAACAAAACAAAAAGAACAGTGCGTGTGCACAGCCCACTGGAGTCGCAGGAGGTACTGCCTCTTCGCCTGTCTCACCTGGCAGTACATTTCGGATTCACCCGTATGTGTCAGGCAGTTCCTATCTGTTCCATATGATGCTCTCCAGCTAGATACCGCTGTGCTGAGTTATGAGTTACTCATCACAGTAATAATAAGCTGATGGCAAGTGTCTTTGCCTGAAACCAAAACCTCAAAATAGTACTTCCTGTAGTATACATCTCTGGGGGAAAACATGCTTATTCCAAAAAAAAAATTTTGGAATTTAAAAAAAAAAAATTTTTTTTTTAAATTAAAGGAGTCAGTGTCGGTGAAGTGGTATAACCTTCAAAGCCATAATGGCAGCGAGTTATTACTGACCTGTCCTTGCGTGGGGTAAGTGTGTAGCTGAGAAGGGAGAGATCAGGGAGTAGCAGCGATTCAAATTTCTTTACAGGGGCCTCATGCTTGGTAACAGGGAGCTGAGTCTTTATGAAGTGCGGTATAGACCCAAAACTGCCGCACCGAGTCTTTTTGCCAGGGTCCAGGGCCTAAAACCTCTCCTGTTTTCTTTCAGCCAGACATGAGAGATATGAGGTGTGTGTTCCCCGTTCTGGGAGAAAGACCAGGATGATTCATGTGTAGCTGCTTGCTCACCTCTCTGTTTTCCTGAAACCTCTTGAGCGCTGGCAGGGTCCATGCTCGCCGTGGTAAGTGCTGCTGGAGACGACAGGCATGGACTTCGGAGTTAAACAAAGTTGGATTCAAATCCTGGCATTTCCTTCTCTGAACATTTTTTAAGTCTTTCTTTATTCAGCACCTCCCTCTTCCTTCCCCTCCAAACCTTCCTCTGACCTTGCATTCTCCTCATATTGCATCATATCATGTTTTTCCTCCTCTAACTTCACCATGTTATGAAGTGTTCAATTTGCCGTCTTATCAGAAAGACTTTTTGTGCTGGAGTTGACCTCCTAGAGTGCTCCTGGAATGTTTTTGCCCCTCTGGCAGTTCACTTACATCAGGAGACTTGTTCCTCTAGGTTCTGTGTGCGCCTCTGTCTGCCTGCTGAGTGCCCTTCTGCTGACACTCTAGGCAGCCACGTCCTGGGAGTGGGGCAGGCGCTGTAGTCCTCCTGTGTGTGTTAGGTTGTGAGACACTGGCCACTGGGAGACCTTTCATAGGCCCCAAGCTGCCGAGGCAATAAAACCTGGGGCATTCTCTGCTCTGGGCCAGAAAGATCCCTGAGCTCCCCGGGCTCTTGCAGAGACCCTGCTATGGAAGCCGCAGCCCTGCCCCTCTGTGGTCCGGGAATCGCCCAGCCTGATTCTCCTAGACAACCACGGAGTTCCCTCCCTTTCCTGCCCCAGCACCCTGACGCTTGTCTCCAGGATCTCCTTGTACAGAGGAGTAAAATTCTCTGCACTACTTCCAACTTTTAGGACCCTAACATAGCCTTAGCATTCCCCACAGCTTGTGAGCCTCAGCAGCTGCTTGTTCTCAGAAAGTAGGGCAGATGGATTGGGATTGGGTTGGGTTGTGAAGCATGGGGTTGAACAAGAAGACCTATTGTGCGACTCCCCAAGTGTCTGAAGTTTGCTTGTATGGCCGCTAGATGTTGCTCTTGTACGTTCGCAATAGCAAGGGGTTTATTTTGCCGGGACAGTAGAAATCAGGAACATGACAGACTAACAAGATAGTGAAATTTTATTCACAAAATGTGCATCCCTGTTTTATACAATTCATTTTTAATAAATATAAAAAACTTAAATATCATTTGAAGTAAACATTTCCTAGCTCTACTGTATATGCAAAGCTGGGTTCTATTTCTAAATTCTCTTTCTAAGTTTTCCAATATTCTCAGAACTTAATATAACTTGTCATAAAACTGCTTCTATTCACTTACTGCCGTCTTAAATGTCTCATCCATCTTCCGTGTCTGTTGTTCTGGATAGGAACTGTTTCTTGCTTTCTTCCACGTGGCACATTACACTGTATTCAGAATACTTCTAACAATATCTCACATTTCTATGATGCTTACTATTTATGAAGAATTTATTTATGGTATCTTATGTATTCCATGTAAAATAAAGTGGTGATGTTTTTATGAAGAAATAAGCTGAAAGCTGTTAAGCAACCTGCCCACGGTCATAAGTAAGAAAGTGCTTCCCGGTTTTATTGTGTTAAACTATGGAGACTCAGGAAGTGCTGTAGACTTTATATCCAGTGTCCATTAGTATATTAAAATCTCCGAGAATTCCTGGAGCAAAGAAACCTGTCAGACTTTAACCTACCGTCCCAAAGTCTTCAAACATATTTAGCTACTATCTCTTTCTTTATCTATCTGTCTATCTGCCTGTCATCTTTTTTTAGAATGTCTTATTCATTATGTAATAGAATACTACCTTTTCTATTTGGAATTGCTGTAAGTGATGAGGATCAAATTCAAACCCTATACTCCTTCTTCAATTTAATTTACTATCAGTGTTTCAAAATGTGCACTGCATCAAGGAAAAAAAGGTCTCAATTTTCTCATAGCTAAAAAGAAATTCATTTAATCACAATAGATTATTTCCACCCAGAGGCTATATACATGGCGAACTTTTGTCTCTTCTGAGCACTTCAGGCAAACTGAATCTAATATATAAGATCCCAAGACGAAATGTCCACTTCCTCCTTGTTCCTCTGACTCTCCCGGTAATTCCAACAGGGGTGACAAAACTGATGTGAGCTCCATCTCACCTCTCTGTACTAATCTGCAGTTTAGACACAACACGGACCACCAGGCTTGCTCTAATGCTCCCTGTCTCCTTGGTCTTAGCATGTGTTTAGTTCGAAGATTTGTTGTCTGGCATCTGTTGAATGTCAGACATGTGGCCAAAACTCCACAGATAAACTCTGAAAAGGTAAACACTCCCTGAAAATAGAGCTTAGGGCAAGAGATCATTCCAGTTAAGTTGACTTGTTGGCTTTTGGATGGCAGCTGTAATGAGTGAAGTCCTCTCCTCCATGGGGGTGAGAACCACAGAAGACTTCTCCATCATCTGCTGAAGCATTTCTGACTCACCAGGCTCCTCACAGCAGCCTTCACATCCTTGTTCCTGAGGCTGTAGATGATGGGGTTGAGCATGGGCGTCACCACCCCGTAGAAGAGGGGGATGAGCTTGTCTGCAAGGTCCTCTTTGTCTGCTCCCTGAGAGTCCTTAGATTTGGGCTTTCCATACATGAAAAATAAGGTCCCATAGAATATTATCACCACAGTGAGGTGAGCAGAGCAGGTGGAGAAGGCCTTTTTCCTCCCCTCAGCTGAGGGGATCCTCAGGATGGTAGCAATGATGAAGACATAAGAGACAGAGATGAACAGAACCGGGACCCCCAGGAAGATCACATTGGTCACCCCCATACTGATCACATTGATGGAGATGTCAGCACAAGCCAACTTCAGGACAGCCAGGATCTCACAGGCGAAGTGGTTGATGACATTGGCCCCGCAGAAGGGCAGCTGAATTGCCAAGGATGTGTGAACCAGAGAAGCAACCCCACCAAGAGCCCAGGAGCCAGCAGCCATGGGCACATAGACAGCCCTGCTCATGACCACGGGGTACCTCAGGGGGTTGCAGATGGCCACGTAGCGATCAAACGCCATCATGCCCAGGAGCACACACTCTGTTCCCGCCGTGGAGAAGGAGAGGAACATCTGTATGGCACAGGCTGAGAAGGAGATGGTCTTCTGGGGGGTCAGGAAGCCATCCAGGACCAGAGGGACTGAGGAGGTTGTGTAGCAGATGTCCAGGAAGGAGAGGTTCCCCAGGAAGAAGTACATGGGCGTGTGCAGGCGGGAGTCAAGGATGGTCACCAGGATGAGGAGCCCATTGCCCAGCAGGATCACCAGGTACGTGAGCAGGATGAGGACAAAGAGTGTTTTCTCCAGCTTTGGGCGGGCTGAGAGGCCCAGGAGAATGAACTCCACCAGCAGGGAGGTCTGATTAGGTTTTTCCATGTGATATTCCCTCTGTCATCAGCACATTACAAAAGTATCACATCAGGTTTTCCTGGAAAGAACCCCAGCTATCTGGTATGAGGCCACTCCTGCTGCGTAATAGAAGAGCATATGTGGGTTAGAGAAAACAGCTGAAAGAGACAGCAGGTCTGGGCTTCCCTGGTGGTCCAGTGGATAGGAATCCACCTGCCAATGCAGAAGACACGGGTTCTGTCCCTGATCCAGGAAGATCCCACATGCCTCAGGGCGAGGCTATGTGTGCTAGAGCTACTGAGCCTGGCCATAACTACTGAGCCCATGTGCCACAACCGCTGAAGCCCGCACCCCCAGAACCCATGATCTGTAGCAAGAGAAGCCACCCCATTGAGAAGCCTGGTCTTCGCAGCTAGAGCGCAGCCTCTGCTTGCCGCAGCTAGAGAAAGGCCTTTGCAACAACGAAGACCCCGCACAGCCAAAAATAAATACACAAATAGAATTTTAAATGTATATATACACATATACATTTAAAAAAGAGTCAGCAGGGTGTCCTCAGCTCTAAGGTGAGAGAAGGTCAGAGCTGGAGCAGAGCTTAAAATGGGTCAGCCCTGGGCAAGGGCCTCAAGCAGTCTAGCTGTGTGAGGGATTTTCCCTAAGTTGCTGCATCCTCTCATTGCCCATAAAGGCAACTGACGTCTCAAAAGGGAAGTGACCTGTCCGAGACTTCTAAGTTGGTGACAGAGACAGGATCCAGTGGAGCGGATCTCCAGTCAAGGAAAGCCTTTTCTCAGCATCATGATTAATGACTGGGTTTCCCAGGTGGCTCAGTGGAGAAGAATCTGTCTACCAACGCAGGAGACTCGGGTTCATGCCCTGGGTCAGGAAGATCCCCTGGAGAAGGAAACGGCAACACATTCCAGTATTCTTGCCTGGAAAATCCCATGGACATAGGAGCCTGGCAGGCTACAGTCCATGCAGTCGCAAAAGAGTCGGACATGATTTAGCAACTAAACAACAAATAATTAACAGTGGGAAAATCCTATGAATGATTTCTCTTTAATGGAAATGTATACTCTTTGCATTTAATCTGAGTTTTCTGAGTTTCCCAGGTCGATCCAGTTCTTAGAAGCAGCAAATTTTAAATCTTCTTTAAATTTTGATTACATCTGGAAGAAACTTGTATAAAATGTCAATTCACCTCCACACAGAAACAAGCCTGGGTAAGAATTCAATGATATTGAGGATGACTTCTCCAGTCTGCCACCATCAATGACACAGACTTGACCATCATCAGCATTGGGATTGCCCTATTTTAATACAAACTGATAACAGTATATGGGGAGGTACCTATATGGGGAGGAACTTTATACAGTCAGCACAAAGACTGATGGAAATGATTAAAATTGGAATGATTAAACCCACACTAGGGGCTGACAACTCTGCAGCTTACAGACCTGAACTCAATGATTAGTAGCTATATGAACTACACTTATCAGATGGTAGGCTATATAGCATTAATCTCCAACCCCATTTCACTAGAATATTGGTGAACTTCTTAGCCAGAGATAACTCAGAAATACTTTTTTCTTTGTCCTTTTATGCTTACATTATATTCTTGTGTGAAACCCACCCTTGGGTTCCATACAAGCAACTAGCTTATGGGGAGACCTATATGCCTTTGTGTAGAGGATTTCGAATCTCTTAGCTGCCATAGCTCAGATTCTAAATGCAGAATCCTTACTGATAATATTTCTCAAGGGATTCCTCTTTGTCCCTCTTCAGTATTAACACATTTTCTATTAATACAATGGGTACAGATCACTTGGCATTCAGGGTGGGGGGAAAGTCTTAGTAATCATGAAAGGAAAGTGAGAAAAACAGAAATAACTAGGCTTTGATAGATTGGGAAACCAGAGAGCCCAGGCTTGGGTCCACTCGCCCTCAGACGCTGAGGAAGGCCCCTTCCTCCCAGAAGCCTCTGCAGGAGGGGGATGATGGGAATCCCACACACTCCCCGGGTTCCTGTGAGGAGGAGCAGCAAGGGCAGACGGGCTGGGAGAGCGTGAGGCTGCCTGGCCCCTGGAGCTTATTCTCAGCTGCTCCCCCTGCTCCAGCAGCTGTGGGAAGGTTTCTGGGGGCAGAGGCAGAGGAGAGGAAAGTGTGTCTTTGAAAAGTGCTCTGTGGAAGGCAGACATGGGCCTCTTCCCATCCCGGCCGAACTCTCCCCACCTGCGTCCTGTTTGCGGTGCTTCTCTGAGGCTCCCGATCTCAGATTCTTAACTCCTCACAGCACACCAGGACCAGACCCTGGATGCCAGAGAAAAACCCAGACTCCCCTGACTGAGTTTCTTTACTTCTGAGACTCTCTTTCTTCTTGTCCTCCTGAATCTTTGGGGGAACTTTAGCCTCTGGTGGGTGTTTCTCTCCCATCCTTTCTCCCGGCTGTGTCCTGGGTATCTCAGTGACAGAACCTTCATGTACAGGACCTGTTATTCTTGTCTGAGCCTGAGGAATCCCACAGGCTCGTTTTCCCCAGCAGTGAAGGGAGTCCTCAAGCTGCAGCTGTAGACTCCTACAGGGACCCTGCTAGTCCCAGAAGCAATTTAAAGTTTGGAATGTTGAGTGTTCATGGGACACTGGGGCTCAGCATCCTGGGGACTCCAGGGACCACATCCCTGCCATCAGTTGCAATCAGAGGCAGTGACTGGGACATGGCCAACTGGAAATGGAGAGGCAGGCACAGAAATGCCAGCTTCCTTCTGAGCCTTCCCTGGGGTCTCGGAGAAGCCAGTGTCCTGCCTCACTGGCTAAGGCTGAAAGTTTTTTTTTTTTTTTTAACTACTTATCGATTTATTTATTTCTTTGGCTATGCCAGGTCTTAGCTGCAGCCTGCAGGATCTTCAGTCTCCACAGTGGCATGCAGGATCTTTTAATTGCAGTATGTGTGATCTAGTTCCCGGAGCAGGGTATGAACCTGGACCCTCTGCATTGGGGGAGCAGAGTCTTAGCCACTGGACTAGAAGGGAAGTCCCTGAAAGTTTTGGGTTTTTTTTTAAACCATGAATTAATGTTGTTTTTTCAAAAACTTCTTCTGTTTCATTTGATATAATCATGTGATTTTTCCTAATTAGCCTGTTAATATGGTGGCTAGAATGCATTGACTTGTCTTTGAATATTGAACCAGCCTTGCATTGCTGGGAGGAGGGGATCCTCCTTACCGATGGGCAAGGAGTGGGAATTTCAGCTCCCCTCTAAGGCTCTGCCGATTCCCTTCTGGCTGGCAGTGGCAGGAGTGCCTAGTGTTGCCCTCATGCCCTCCACTGACACCGTGGGAAGGGGTGGTCTCAGTGGCACAGGCACAAGCCCTGACCCTTCCGTAGGCCCCTGCTGATGCCATCCAAACAGGGGAAGAAGGAGCTTCCCACCTGATCTCTACTGACTCTGTGCTGGTGGGGAGGACCTGTTACCGCCCAGCATCCCATCTTCCTCTTCAGCCTCCTCTGATACCACACTGGCAGGAGAGTGGTTGGATTGCCTTGTCAGAGCTTGGAGCATAGAAGTCTAGGCTGTCATCTGCTCAGCCTTTGCTGGTGGGGTGAAACTGGGGCCATTGTTTTTTTTTTTCTGAGGTGTTTGGCTGGAGTAGAGTGCTTATTGTCAGGAATTAAATTTTATCAAGTACTTTTCCAACTACATCTATTGAAATGTGATCATTTGGGTTTTCTTCTTTAGTTTGTTGATGTCATAAATTTTTAATGTTCACCCTATCCATGCTTTTTTGGGGGGATGAATGCAACTTGCTCACAGAGTATTATCCTCTAAATGCATTACTATCTTTGTTTTACTGATTTTCATAATTTGGCTTTTTGGCATCAATGTTCATGGAGAGTTACAGGCCTGAAAAGAGTTTAGTTCTTTTGCTTTATTTAAAAAAGAGCCTGGGATTTGACTAAGACTCCCATCCAAGTACTAACCAGGCCCAACCTTGTTTAGCTTCTGAGATCGGATGAGATTGGGTAGTACAGCCATAGATTTAATCAAGACTGGTTTGCAGTTTCTTGTATCTCAGTTGGAAGTGATCTCCTGTGTAATATAAACATAACATTACAGTTGGAGTGTGCAGTAGTCAGCAAGAGAACGTGACTATGTAAAGATACTTTTCCTTTGGGCTTTGTAATTGTCAAGACTTTGTAAGTTTCTAGATAGAAAACTTATTCCAACCAACATAATACCAATACAAACTTTAATGCTCATTAAACTGAGAAGTTCAAAGGTGGATTCAGTCTCAGGCATAGTTGAAATTAGGGACTCCACATGTCTTTAGGACTCTCTGTCCTTTCATCTGGTTCTTATCTCTACTTGTGTTTTCCCGGCTTCATTTTAAACAGACTTACTCACATGCTAGAGAAGAGAGCTGTCAGCAGCCTAATCCACATTCTTCTGTTTTAGTCTCCAGATGAGAACAGAGCCCTGGCCAACACGTTAGACTGTAGCTTTGCAGAGGACTTGCTTGAGCTCCTAACTCATAGAAATGGCAAGATTATAAATGGGTGTTGTCTAAAGCCACTAAGTAGTGATCTGCAATGCAGCAGAGAAAGCCAATATGAACCCCTTTTCTTCTTGCTCCAATTGAAATATGCTGCGGAATGGTTTTGATTAGTTTGACCAAGGTCACATGCTTTCGCTCAGACTGATTGCTGTGGCCAAGGGTGGGTGTTCTACAGTTGGCAGTCCCCTGGAACCACATGATGAGAGAGAGGGAGCAGTTTCCTCCGCAAACAATAGATGCACAGTGCAGATGTAAGTGACCTCTGTGAGGGCACCCTTAGAAACTCCAGCAATGCTGTGACTGACGTGTGCCTTTTAGCAGAGGTCACAAATTGCAACCCATAGCTGAGGAACAAATTTTGTTTGATCTTAGAATTCTTACACTGTGGTAGAATTCTGGGAAGCACTCAGCTCTGCAAGCACCAGAGGGGAACGTGGAGACTACAGCAGGGGGAGCAGCTCTTTGCATTCCCTCCCCTTCCCCTTCCCGCATTCCTGCCTGGCAGAGGTTGGCTGGAGCT